AATAAGAGAAGTGAAAACAGGCATCCCTGTCTTGTTCCCAATCTGAAGGGGAGTACCTGTAGTTTTTGCCCATTGAATATGATGCTGGCAGTGGGTTTGTTATATATGGCCTTTATTATGTTTAGTTACACATATTTTGCCATGTATAATGTGCATTTTTTTTGCCAAAATTTTTGAGGGAAAAATAAGAATGTGCATTATACATGGGTAGTACTAATTCCATATCTATATAAATGTTTCTAATGCTTTTATTTATGCTTATGCATTAAAAGTAAAACTCTAAAAAGCAATAACAATATCTGTATGCAAAATAATACTCTGGAATATGATAGTCGGTTTTGTTTCTTAATACAAGAATAGAATTAAAAAATTAAAAAAATATTTTTTTCCTGAATGGGCCAAAAACATGTGTGCACATTATACATGACAAAATACAATATGTTTCCTCTATTCCCACTTTGCTGAGAGTTTTTATCATAAATAGGTGCTAGATTTTATCAAATGCTTTTTCTGCACCTAGTGATAGGATCATGTGGTTTTTATCCTTCATCTTGTTTATATGGCGAATCACATTTATTCATTTGCAATGTTGTACCAACCTTACATTCCCAGAATAAATCCCACTTGATCATGGTATATGATCCTTTTGATGCATTGCTGTATTTGGTTTGCTAATATTTTGCTGAGGCTTTTAGCATCTATGTTCATTGGGGCTATTAGACTATAACTTTCTTTCTTTGTAGTGTGTTTATCTGGTTTTGGAATTAGGATAATGCTGGCCTCAGAAAGTGAGCTTGGGAGCCTTCCCTCCTCTTGAATTTTTTGAAATAGTTTGAGGAAAAGTGTTAGTGCTTCTTGGAATGTTTGGTAAAATTCACATGTGAAGTCATCTAGTTCAGGACTTTGTTTTGTTTTGTTTTTAATTACTACCTGAGTTTCTCTAGGTGTAATCTGTCTATTAAGATTTTTTTTCCTGATTTAGTTTTGGAAGATTGTATGTTTCTAGGGATTTATCCATTTCATCCAGGTTGTCCAGTTTGTTGGCATAATATTTTCTTACAAACCTTTTTATTTCTTTGGCGTCAGTTGTTATGGTCTCCTCTTTAATTTTTTATTTTATTTATTTGGGTCCTCTTTCCTTTTTTCTAGATAAGTCTGGTTAAAGGTTTGTCAATCTTATTGATCTTTTCAAAGAACCAGCTCTTGGATTCATTGATCTTTTATATCATTTTTTAGACTCTATTTCATTTACTTCTCTCTGATCTTTATTATTTTCTTTCTTCTACTCACTTTCAGCTTTGTTTGTTATTCTTTTTCAAGTTCCTTTAAGTGTAAAGTTAGATTGTTATTTGAGCTTCTTCTTGTTTCTTGAGAAGCTTGTAATGCAATGAATTTCCCTCTTAGGATTGCTTTCCCTGTGCCCCACAGATTTTGAAGCAAGTATATACAATGGGCTAAAGATGGTTTATTCAATAAATGCTGTTGGGAAAATTAGACATGTGCAGAAAAATGAAACTAGACCACCTTCTTACACCACACACAAGAATAAATTCAAAATGGATTAAAGACTTAAATGTTAGACCCCAAACCATAAAAATTCTAGAAGAAAACTTAGGCAGTAAAATCTTGGAAATTGCTTATAGCACTATTTCATCTGATATATCTTCTCAGGCAAGGAAAACAAAAGAAAAAATAAACAAAAGGAACTACATAACACTAAAAAGTTTTCTCACAGCAAAGGAAACCATCAACCAAATAAAATGACAACCCATAGAATGGAAAAACATATTTGCCGATCTATAAATTTTGGATATTAACATCTGATAAGAGGTTAATATCCAAAATTTATAAAGAACTTTCAAAACTCGACACCAGAAAAACAAACAATCCAATTAAAAAATGGGCAAAGGACCTGAATAGACACTTCTCCGAAGAGAACATACAGATGGCCAATAGACAGATGGAAAAATGGTCAACATACTAATCATCAGAGAAATGCAAATTAAAACCACAATGAGATATCACCTCATACCGGTCAGAATGGCTATCATCAATAAATCAACAAGTACTCGCGAGGATGTGGAGAAAAGGAGAGCCCTTTTGCACTGTTGGTAAGAATGCAGATTTATGCAGCCATTTTGGAAAGTTGTATGGAGATACCTCAAAAAATTATAAATGGATCTGCCTTTTGGCCCAGTGATCACACTTCTGGGAATATATCCAAAGAAACCTATAACACTAATTCAAAAGAACATAAGAACACCTATGCTCATTGCAGTACTATTTATAATTGCCAACATGTGGAAGCAGCCCAAGTGTCCATCAGTAGATGAGTGGATACAACTATGGGACATTCACACAATGGAATACTACTCGACTATAAAAAAAAAAAAAGAAGAAGAAGAAGAAAATTTAACCCTTTGTGACAGCATGGATCATAGATTATGCTAAGTGAAATAGCCAGTGAGTGAAAGGCAAATACCATATGATTTCACTCATATGTGGAATCTAATGAACAAAATGAACTAATAAGCAAAACAGAGACAGACTCATAGGCAGAGAGCAGGATGACAGCTATTAAGGGGTGGAGGGATTGAGCAAAAGGAAAAAGGGCTCATGGACATGAACCACAGTGGGGTGATTGTGGAAGGGCGGGGGTGGGGGTATAAGGGCAATAAATGGTAATAGAAAAATACAATAAAAATATATAAGAAAGAAAAGAAGGAAGGGAAGGAAGGAAGGGAGAGAGGGAGAGGGAGGAAGGGACGGAGGGAGGGAGGAAATAAAACATCTTTCAAAAATTGATTGCGTGTGGAGACTATACAAAGGAAACTACAGAATGAATAAGAGAGTTCAGCAAATCTTCTCTAAAGGCAATTGTATTTCCTCTACATTGGCTGCAAACAGAAAATACAACATTTCAATGTACTATTTATAATGGAACACTTTGTTAATTTTAATTAAGACACCTAGTCATAGCCAAACAAAAGATATAGATGGGTAACTCATAAAATTTTATTAAAAGACATGAAATAGGACCTAAATAAATGGAGAGTAGTGTGATGTTCATGACTAGGGGACTTAATAATCACAAAGATGTCAAATTCCCCAAATTAACCTATATTTTAATGCAATTTCAGTAAAATTCTCAACAAGATTATTCATGAACTTGACATGTTGATTCTACCATGTCCATGGAATAGAAAAAGAAAATGTTTCATTAGCTAAGGCAGTTTTCAAGAACAACAAGCTGGAATGAGTCACACCCTGTGAAAGAGCAAGATTTAACTATGAAGTTGTCATGATTGAAACAGTGTGGCCCATTGGTACCAGGATAGACAAATAAACCTATGAAATAGAACGAAATGGCTCTTATGAGACCTGCACATGTATGGAAATATAATTTATGTCAGAAGAAATATTTCAAATCAGTAGGAGAAGATGGACTAGTCAATAAATTGTGTTAAGAAAATTGGTTTTTTATACAGGAGAAAGCATATCTCTACCTCATATGGAGCACAAAAATATATTCCAGATTAATGGGTTATTATTAAAAACAAAATTTTAGAACTTTTGGAACATACAGGAGAATATTTTTATGACCCAAAATAAAGAAGAATATTTTAAACAAGACACACAAAAATAAAGGAGAACTTTATAAAAATTATTATAAATTAAAAATAAAAAGAGCACAGAGGAAAAAATTATAAATTTGATCACATTGAAATTTAAAACTTAGATCCATCAAAACATACCATAAACAAAACTAAACACAGGCCATAGACTGGAATAAGTTCTTATGATGCATGTAACTGAAAAAGGATTAATATGAAAAATATAGAAAGAATTCTACAAACAAGACAAATAACCTGTGAGATAAACAGGCAAGAATGTGAACATGCAATTCAATAGAAGATGAAATAAAAATCTCAACCAATTAATCATTTTTAAACCAAATTAAACAGCAATGAAATATTTCATACCCATCATATGAACAACATTTTTTAAAAAATTCACTAATACCAAGAATCAACAAACCTAAACTTGTAGAAATGGGAAGTATGGAAGTAGTTGTGCAGGGAGGGTGGGGATGGGAGAAGAGGGAGAGGCTGGTAAAAGGGTACAAATTTTCAGTTATGCAATGAGTAAGGTCTGAGGATATAATGTAAAATATGGTGAGCTTAGTGATAGCACTGTGTTGTCTAACTGAAGTTTTCTAAGAGGTAGAACTTGTGTTCTCACCTGCAAGAAATAGATAAATATGTGAGGTGATGGGTGTGTTAATTAACTAGGTGGGAGGAACCCTTTCACAATGCATCCGTGTATCAAATCGGCACCATGTACATTTAACATGTCTTAGAGCTTTATTGGTCAATGAAACCTCAATAAAGCCGAAAGGTGAGAGTTGACAAGTCTGTAGAGCAATGGCATTTCTTCTTCACTGCCCACAGGAGAATAAACTGGACTGACACCTGTATAAACCGAACAAGCAGCCCCTAGGAAAGATGGGGACGCAGCTCCGGTTAACTGGCGGTTCCACCGCTATGCAGATGTCCCAGACATGGGCCTGTGTGTTTACTGCATTACCATTTCTATTAGCCAAAGACAAAAGAAAAGAAAAACATGAGCAGGAGGGTGGGTTTTTTAGATGGTATATTTATAAAGTATACTCCGATACAACAATTAAAATGAAAGAGCTACAGCTAAAACATATCTAAATGGCTAAATCTCAAAAACTTAACACTTAACATGGATTGCAAAGAAAGAGTTTGCAGAAAAGGTACTGTTGTTGCCATTTATATGAATTTTTAAAACATTTGAAACAATGCTATGTATTTTCATATTTAGTGAATGTACCAGAGCCTTCAGGGAATGATCAACACCAAATTCAATTTAGCAGTTCCCCGTGGGGAAGAAGGCAGGGGCAAGGGGCCAGGGAAGGAGCCACAGATGTGGACCTGACTACGTGGGTGTTGGGCCCTCTCGCCTCTCTGCCCCAGGTGTGCCACTGGGGAGGCGTGGCAGGACATCATGCTGGCCTGCATGCCAGGGAAGAAGTGCGCCCCGGAGTCTGAGCCCAGCAACAGCACAGAAGGGGAGACGCCCTGTGGCAGCAGCTTCGCCGTCTTCTACTTCATCAGCTTCTATATGCTCTGTGCCTTCCTGGTAAGCCAAGGTGGCACTGAACAGTCACAGGGAATGAGCACGCAGCTCGGGGCAGCCCGAGACCACCAGCTCTGCAGCTCAGGGTCGGGGCGACCCCCACAGAGGAGCTGGCTTGAGAAGACTGACTTAGTAGGGATGCCCGACCACACTGAGATAAGGGCAGAAAGCCTCAGCCAGGGTGACCTCAACCAGTATCTCTCGTGTCTATTCTTGGCTCTTGCCATGGTGGCATTGTCCCAGAGGACAGAAGGGATGTCCATGGAGGCCTAGAGGCAACATAGACTTTTTTGTCAATTTTCCGGGGAATGGGGGTGGATAAAGTTGCCTTCTGTCCTTGGCAGCCCTACGCAGCAGCCTGGTTTGAGGGAAGCTGTCCAGCCCGTGTGTATGTTCATCCCACGCAGCTCTGAGGGGAGCTGTGTTCTGTCCATACCCAAGAAGCCCAAGTTCCAGGACCTGGTGTTTTAAGTGGTGGCGTATAGCTGGTCTTTGGAAATGTCAGCTTCTGCCACACATGGCACTGCTGGCAAAGTAGATTCAAGTGGCAAGTGTGAAAGAAGGTCCTCCCAGGTGACTCACCATACTCTCTGTTCTCTGCAGATCATCAACCTCTTTGTAGCTGTCATCATGGACAACTTTGATTACCTGACAAGGGATTGGTCAATCCTTGGTCCCCACCATCTGGATGAATTTAAAAGAATCTGGGCCGAGTATGACCCTGAAGCCAAGTAAGTTCCAAGAGGGAAATTCTGATTGCCAAAGCCGAAGGGAAGGATTGTGCAACCATACCTACAGAACAGGGTCAAGATGGGTTAGCGCTGGATAGATCCACTGGAAACACTGAATTGCACCAGACCCCAGGGTCAAGGGTTAAGGGGCAGCCATAGGCAGCCAGGCTCCTTTGGCTAGGTCACGAACATATCTGCTATTTTTAGATGAATGGAAAAATAGAAGATCCTATTGAGTACCTGGTAGGTACTCAAGTTAGGATGTTCATGGCCAAGCACATCTCAACTCCATTCCTGCCTCTGGTCAAGGGAAACCCTTGTCAGTCAATCACATTTTGTTGATGATAAATATTGTACCTTTCGGTCAAATGGTTAGTTGACTGAAGCAGCAAGCACATGTTGAAAATTTCATTACACTGCTAAAATCTTTTACACCTTAAAGTGAATAAAAACTGCTTGAAAATGGCTACTAAAACCTAAACATGTATATGTTGGTTTGGCGTTTTACTCTGCAATTCTGCAGCTCTGCACTGAGTTTGAACAGTAGGGCTACAGCTATGGAGAGTTCCTCCTATGGAGAGAGAACTCTATAGAGAGAGCCCCACCGCCTCTCAGGTCCGCGAGCTCTGGGCTGCTGGCCAAAACCACGCCCGTGACTGACTTTCTCCTCCTCTCCTTCCTCTTCCAGGGGTCGTATCAAACACCTGGATGTGGTGACCCTGCTGCGCCGGATTCAGCCCCCACTGGGTTTTGGGAAGCTGTGCCCTCACCGTGTGGCTTGCAAAGTAAGAGATGACCTGTATTCATGGGAGAAAGAAAATATAGGAGGCAAGATGCCTATTTGTCGTGTAACCTTGGTCAGGCCATTGATCCTTTAAGGGAGTGAAGACAACATTTTATGTGCCTGAAGAAATGAGCCTGAGCCAGATTATATTTTAAAGTTCCTTCCAGCAATAAGTTCTCAGATTCAATAAAAGAAAAACAGACTGAGTGCCTCATGTCCCAGTGTGCTACGTGCCCAGTCCTGAATAAAGGACCTTGTTCTGAACAGACTTTGCTGCCCCATCAAGGTGTGCCCAGGCAACCTGGAAAACTTCCCATCCAGGATGCATGGGTTGCAGTGCTTCCCTGGGATCACAGGGCCATTAGAGCCCATGAGTCAGTTTCGGGGGCACATGAAACCCTACCGAATGTATATGAAATCACTGAAAAACTCAGAAGTTGTACCAGGGAGAGAATCCATCATGTTCATGAGATTTCTAAGTGAGTCAGTGATGTTAAAGGCAGATGACCTAAGTTCTGTCAGACCTAACTCTTGCCCATGTGGTCTGGCATGGCCCTGAGAGGGGGCTCCCCTGAAGCCATGTGCCCTCTCTTGCCTCACAGTGATCCTGCCTCTGTAGCTCAGCACTTGCTGAAGAGGCTTGTTTCCACTCTCTCCCCCTTTCTTTTAATTCTCATTATCTCCATTCTGTATTCCATGCTGGAATAGTTACAAGTTGAAAAGGGGGTGGTGGGAAGTGACGTCAGAGAGCTGTGCAGAGGAAGAAACACAAACAGAAAAATCCAGCTCTGTGGATAACCCGCCCAAGAAAAATGAAGAAATGAAGGAACATAGGACCTTCTATTTATGCTGTTTTACTCAGTTTTTCCTCATTTGTACGTCTACTTCATTATAAAAAAAGAAAAGATTTTAAAAGATTTCCAAGGGTATAAAAGATGTGAGGGTAAAAAAAAACAGCACATATTAAATATAAGGTAAAGCAGAGTAGAAAAGAGTAGCAGGGTGAGTGCAGCCTGCATGAGGCCGCAGAGTGTCCATCGGGGCCTCGGATGGGCCCAGGCGGGTGCTGATTGAGGTTTATGCTTCCCGGGGACCACTCTAAAATTCACACCGTCCATGAGAATCAAGAATATCCAGTTACTCAGAGTAATTATAACCCTTTTTGGCACTATGATTAACAGGAGGACACCATGTTATCTAATGAATAATATCCTTGACCACATCCTGACAGTAGGTGCCAGGGTGAATTTCATGCTGCTCTTTCTCACAGTGACCCAGTGTGTGCCGAGGGCCCCACCCCCAAGCCTCTGTCCAGCTTGATGTAGAGGCAGATTTTTCGATATACAGGAAAAAAAGACACGCTGCATCTCCTGCAAGCATCTTCCATTATTCTCTCTCTGATCAGGGCTTTAAGTGAATGCGGGCTGGCAGGTGGGCTCCCCACAACTGCCTGCACAGCCGTTCTTTGTTGCCAGCAGAGAGCACACCCATGTGCATGAGCAGCATTTGAGCAGGGAAGTAGGTTGGAAGCAAGGGTTTACTAAGGACAAATTCCATTTCTCCCTCACTCTGTGCAGCAGTGTGAGAGTACTTATGGCAGAGCCAAGATTCCCCCCAGCATAGGTTTTGAATACATTTCAGTGACTCGCGCTTAGACACCCCCTCCCCACTCTGGGCACATGGCCACAAGGGTAGAGGCTCCCTCCCAGCATCCTCCTGCCGTGGTGGTTCTGTAGGTCCTTTGGGAACCGTTTGCTGTAGTCACCAGCCTTGCCCTCCTTCCCCTCCAGCGTCTGGTCTCCATGAACATGCCTCTGAACAGTGATGGGACAGTCATGTTCAATGCCACCCTGTTTGCCCTGGTCCGGACAGCCCTGAGGATCAAAACGGAAGGTAAGAATCACCCACAGGGCACTGGAAGAGCCACTCAGAAGCTCTCGCACACCAGCCGGAGGGGCAGTCAGCAGCCTGCATGGTGTCCCAGGGCCTTCCCACCTGGACAGAGCTGGGGTTCAGCGGTAACCTTCACCTTGGGGATGTAAAAGAGGCCTAGTCATGTCTTCTTTGACCTTCTCGCCTCTAGCTTATTTATGTTGAACTCTAGCTTTCCATCTTGAAGTCATGGGGTATAGTTCAAAAAGCAGAAAAAAAATTAGTGTTATCCAAAGCAAGACCAAGCCCACCTCAGTGAAATTTTCTTGGCTACAAGTGGGTCTCTCAAATGCTCAACACTTTTTAAATTAAAAAGACTTCTGTGGGGGAGGGATAGTAATGGCAAATGGTGATTATGGTCAAGGTCATCACATGCCGTGGCCCAAGGGCTCCACCAGCAGCGGGTCGGGGTGAAGGTCTCACCTGCGCCCCCCTAGGCAGCCCTGCTCCCTCCGGCCTGTGTCTGCCGGGAGGAACACCTTCCAGTTTGCGCGAAGGCACCCAACAGGCTGCAGAAGCTTTGGCGGCCATAATGGGCTGCCGGTATAATTGATAAGTATTTCTGAAACACTCTGTGGAAAAAGCTATGTGAAATGTGCCTAAGTGATGCCCTTGCTCTCCAAGAGCCGCTAGCCTATTACAGTGTTTTGTAGAGTGTGGTCAAAAGACCACCTGCCTCAGATTCACCTATTGGAGTTTGTTTAAAATACTGAGTTCCAAGCACCAGCCCAGGTCTCTAAACTGAGTCTCAGAGCAGAGCTCAGGGATCTGCCCTTTCAACCAGCCACATTAAGATTCCTACAGGAACTAGAGTTTGAAACCCTCTTGTATTGAAATCAGAGAAAAGACAGAAGAGACAAGCAATATGTCTTCTGCTCCTTCTTACGCTTCAGTCTAAGGGTCTCAGGCGGCCAGTCATGGTGTGTCCTTTAGTACAATGGCAGGAGTGCGGAACAAGGAGATGGGAGACCTGAATCTGATAACGTGTGCGATAAGTCACTTATTCTCTCTCTACTTAAGTTTCCTCATCGGTAAAATAAGAAAGGTGATGAAATGATATGTGGGAATCTGGTTCAGTGAATAACCCACAGAGGTGCCTTCTCTCAGTTAAAGGTTTCCAGAAAATAATAAACACCTGAAATGAAAGAAAACAAGAACAGACAAGCAAGGAACATGTCAAAATAATGAGCCCATCTTTAATAACATTAAAAATAGTTCAAGTTCTGCTGCTAAACTGAAAAGGAAACAAAGGCTAAAGAATATACTCTCAGTAGCCAGTGCAATAGCTCAATCTGAAATAGGTATAAATAGGCCTATTTCTCATCCTGAAGGGATTAAACACCCATTTAATCTATGGTGTATATATAACAAGGGGAAAAATTGGAAGGAAATTTATTAGCATTGATTATCACTGAGTAGTAGAATGAGCAGTGACTTTTACCTCCTTCCTTTACTTTTGTTACTTTCCAAATTGTTCACAATGACTATCACAATTACGTCCAGGAGGAAAAGTTTTCTTTTCCAAGGAGAGAAGATTTAATGACCACTAGAAGGAATGTCCTGCAATACTTACAGCTTGATGTAAATTGAGAAGCTAAATTTTCATTCGTGGAGGAAGCCAGGCCCTCACTATTGAAGACACACTGTCTGCGCAAACGAAGTCCCAGCTGAAGGGTGCCAACCACTGATGAAAACGCAGAAGGAGCTGGGCCGAAATAGCCGGTGCACACAGCCTGTCTCCTGGACAAGAGGAGAAGCCAGCCGCACGGGAACTGCAGTCAAGAATTGAAGACGACTTTAAACACGAAGACATGTATCTACTGCACAACACTGTCCCTGTAGGTCACAACACTGCATGGCATCCTGAAAATTCTGTCAGGCATGTAGAGCTCATGCTACATGTTTTTGCCATAATAAATTAAAATTAAGGAAAAAAAAAAGAGTAGCTACCAAAGGGTCAAGGTGCCAGCTCAGGGGCAAACCTTTATTAGAGATAAGCCCCCAACAAAAGTGTTAATCACTTAAGTCTAGAAGACAAAGGCAAGTTCTTAGAAGCAATCAGAAAGAAATGAGGGGAAGCATCTAGTTTTGTGAGGATGAAGTCTTGACCAGTTCATACCTTTCAGTTTTGAGCTTGGAAGGGACTGGACAGAAAATGACAGCCACTTCGGCGAACCAATCCTGAGCCACACACACCTTTGGGATGCAGCAGGAAGGCATTTCTAAATGTACTTAGATGAAGTGAAACAACTGTTAGTGAAGTTCCACAGTTACGCACATCACCGTGAGAATAAACTGAGGCTTGAAAAAAAGATGGAAGATTCTTTTGGAAGATGTATTTATTGCCTACGTCTGACATAATAAACTATCACAAACTGGGTGCTTAAAACGACAGAATTTTTTTCTCTTAGAGTTCAGGTGGCCAGAGTCCAAAAGGAAGGTGTCAGCAGGAGGTCCCTTCCAGAGGTTCTGAGGGAGAACCTGTTCCATGCCTCGTTCCTAGCTCCTGGTGGCTGCGCCCCTCCAGTCTCTGCCACCATCTTTTCATGGCCTTCTTCCCTGTGTGTCTCCTCCTCCTCGTATAAGGACACCCGTCATATTGGATTAGGGCCCAACTGAGTATTACCTCACCTTAGCTAATCACACCTGCAAAGACTGTTTCCATCTAAAGTCACATGCCAAGGTTCTGTGCGGACATGAATTTGGAAGGGACACTATTGAACCCACTACAGAAGATGAGTATATTTGAACAACACATTAATTTTGACCTTTTCACTGCATATGTCAGAAACCACTAACTACCTTCACCAGGAAGGGAACGTAACCATGAAGCACTCCCCGCACCACTAGAATGCCAAAGCTGCGGGTCCCGTTTGGATCCGACAGTCACGCAGGGGACTCAGGAGTCAGCCATGCTCTCTCCATTGCCAGCCCTGCTTGCTCCTGCTGGGCTTCCTTCCAAGGGAGCCTCTCTGGCACGGCCATGGAGCGACCGCAGCTCAGGCAGTCTGACACCAGAGCTCCAGCCCCGCCGCCCCGCCGGGTGATAGCAGTAAGCAGTCCAATACAGGCAGGCCTCGCTTTACTGTGCTTTGCAGATACGTACTGTGTTTTCATTAATACTAAGGCAAGACCCTTCACCAGCAATAAGTTTAGGACTCGCTGAAGGCTCAAATGGTGGTTATCATTTTTTGGCTCTACAGCATTTTTCAATTAAGGTATTTACATTGTTTTTACAGATATAATGCTATTGCACAATTCATAGACTATGAGTATAGTGTAAACGTAATGTTTATATGCACTGGAAAACCAAAAACTCAGGTGACTGGCTTAATTGCGATATTTGCTTTTATTGTGGTGGTCTGAAATGGAACTTGCAATATCTTCACGGTTTGCCTGTGTTGGTTTCCTATTGCTGCATAATCAATTGCCACCAACTTTTTGGCTTAAAGCAACACCCAGTTATTAGCTCCCAGTTTTGTAGGTCAGGAGCAGAACCATGGGGTAGCTGAGTTCTCTGCCCAGGGTCTCACAAGGCCAAAACCAAAACATTGATCCGGATGTGTCCCGTTCCAGGGGCTCTGGGCAAGGAGCCACATGCAGCTCTCTCAGGTTGTCGGCGGGATTCATTCCCTGCCGTTACAGGGTGGGCTCTCCCTGGGGACCACGGAGCCCCCAGAGGCTGCCTGTCTCCGCTCATTCACAACACGGTGTGTGCTTTCTTCCAGGCCCGCACCACTCTCTCTCTCACTCCTGCTCCCCGCCGGGGACAACTCTCTGCTTTACCTTTTGACCCCCTTCCCACATTACTTTTTAATTTTGTTTGTTTGTTTTGTTTTTTATTGACAATATAGTATTTTATATATATATATAATATTATAATGTCAAAAATTGACGTATTGGTACAATTGACATATAGTATTATATTAGTTTTAGGTGTAGAACACAATGATTTGATATTTGTCATCATCATAAGTTTAGCTACCACCCACTACCCTATGTAGTTACAATTTTTTTCTTGTGATATTATCTACTCTCTTAGCAACCTTCAAATATGTAATACAGTATTAACTATATTCACCAAGCTGTACTTTATATTCCCAGGACTTATGTATTTTATAACTGGAAGTTTGTACCTGAGAACTCTTTCCTTGCAAAGAGCTCATGTGATTAGGTCAGGTTCACCTAGATAATCTCCCTATTTTAAGGTCACGCGTGCTGTATAATCTAATCTAATCTAATCTAATCTAATCACAGAGCGAAACCCATTGTATTCACAGTCCCCGGGACTGTGCAGGGTATATATCAGTGATGGTAAGGGATGGGTTGGGGGCATCTTGGAATCCTGCTACCATGTCCTGTCTTACAGCTGCAGGTCTCAGCTTTCCTTTCAGACGGCAATAAGGCCCGTATCCCAGAGGCCGCAGCGGGTAGGCACCTAATTATGCCTGTTTCGCCACTGGAGAAAGTAGACCCAGAGAACCCAGTGTCTTCTGATTTCTGATTCCACACTGAGGTCATGCCACCTCTTCCCCGCAGGAGACTCAGCACAGGGCTTTGACACTGGGAGAGACTGCTCTTCCTACCAATGGCCCATGTTTCCCTGGCGACCACAGGCTGTAAGAAATGCCATCCGTGAAGAGCCCCTGTGCTCTCCTGGCCAATGGCTGCTGAGCTTTGTCCTGCACCAGCAGTCTTGTCGGCTCGGGAAAAGCATGTGTGGGGGCGAAGGGACGCCGCTGGCCATTCGGAGCAGTGGGCAGAGAAGGAACGGCATTGGACAGGGCGCAGGAGGGAAAGAGGAAGGTGGAGGCAGATGGTGGGAAGACAGGGAGGAAAGAGAGTGACACAATGGACCAGGACTGTTTGTGGGGCACACCCCATGGGGAGCCCACCAGGGGGCCGGCAACACATCAGCCCCGCGCATACCTCCCTCTCCTCAGGGAACCTGGAACAAGCCAATGAGGAGTTGCGGGCCATCATCAAGAAGATCTGGAAGCGGACCAGCATGAAGCTGCTGGACCAGGTGGTGCCCCCCGCAGGTGGTAAGTGCTCCCCGATCTGCGCACGCTCGCCCCCTGCCCATTCTGGAGTCACTGGGCTGGCAGGAGGGCCCCTTTCCCAGTGCCCCCCGCCCCGCCCCAGGGGCCGGGACGGCCTTACAGTGAGAAGGAACGCGGGCGCCATGCCCTTCACAAACTCAGAGACGGGCTGTCAGGCTGGAAGTCTGGGCCAGCCCTGCAAGTCACAGATGAAGCCAGGCGAGGCCCCTGGATGCTGAGAGATGTGGCAGAACTTCAAGGAAACTGCAAAGTAAAGGTTTCCCTATCCACCGCTGGGCCGACAGCTCCAGTGATGACAGGGCCCCGAGAGCCGCTCCCGGGCGGAGGCCCCTTGTGTCCGTCACAGAGCAGCGTTGTCCCACCCTGTGCGCCCATGGCCCCTTCTCCTAACAGAGTGTAGCATAGGCCCCTGCTGCTGTCCGGGAGGACAGGCGCGGGAAACGCGGGCTTCCTACACATGTCATTTCCAAAATGTTAATACAATGCATTAACACTAGTATAAAATGTATGAAAATAAAATGTTATTCAATATATACATGCTCAGGCACAACCAGGCCAGAAGTTACAATTAACTGAAGACACTGCTCGCATGTACCCACTTATGACGAATAAGTGTGTTTAAAAGAAGGAAGGCTGTTGAATATTGCTGACATTTTGTGTTTGTCATTTTGAAGTAAGGGCTAAATAGATTTAAATAACTATATGTACACGCATATATACATGTACCTCCATACACACACATACAGAGGACAGAGGACCAACGCGGACTGAGACAGGCGGGTCGGACGGTGGGTGAGTCTGACACCGCAAGGAGCGCCGACATCAGGGATACAGTTTTCCAAAACCTGAACCCCTGTTGGTCACATTGAAATGAAACAAAGTCTTCTAGCAATTTACACAGTGGGCTGTATATCTGAAAAATCCTGGATGTATTAAAACAATGCAAAAAATGTTTTGCATCATATGTAAAACGAAGTTAGGTTCTTAGCTCAGATAGTTATAAGCAGGTTGTTCCCCTACATGGGTATCCTAAGGTAACACTTGAAAGACATGCAGAGCGCGAAGCTATTATTTATTAGGCAAAACGTGTCTCTGTTTTAAGGGACATATCTAGAACCACCTAATACCAGCAGCACCCCTAAGTCACTGTGACAACTAAACAAGTCCCATGAATTTCCAAAACACTTTTGAAAACGTGACACCACCCTTGTTGAGAACCCCTTCCTGTACAGAAAGCAGGAATTGGACTAAGTAGAGTCACAGAGACTACATTACATACATTATTTTGTTTGCTCCATATAACATTCCCATGATGTTTGCTCAGAGAATTGAAGTTCTTAGAAACTAAGTAGATGACCCAAGGCTACATGGTGAGTACCTAGCAGATTCAGGATTCGAACCTGGGTCTGGGGGATGCCAGGACACTGCGCTCTATTCGCTGGTACAGTTCCTCCCCAGCTACCCTGGGCAAGGGCTCCGGGGCTTTTCCTCCCATGTGGGAATGAGGCCCTTGCCTGGTGGAAAGCCATCACGGTTGTGGATTTGGCTCTCCCTCGGAGACAATTAGAAGCAAGAGAATCATCACAGACCCCTAGGTCTGACCCAACCAGCTGTCTCCCGGGCCCATTGTCCTTCCTTCACAAACTAAGAGGTGGAGCCCAGTGGCTCCTTATAGGTCATCAGCTACTCCCGTTGGAGACTTACTGGCTTTCCCACCCCACGGTTTATTCTCAAGACAGGGACTGAATATGTCATGGGTAACTTGGGGCCACAGCCGAACAGGAACCCAGCCAAGCCACACATGAGAAAACCCAGTCTGTCTAGTTGAAAGAAAAACTCAAACTTGCACAGGAAAGGCGCTTCTTCTATCAACCCTCCTGTTTATGTTTAAGCAAAATTATATTTGTACTTAGGGGACTGGTTGATTTATGATGGGCATCTGAAGCTTTGGAATCAAATAAGAATTTGTTAGTAATGTCAGTTAAAAAAAAAAGCAAGGTGGGAAATAATTTTGATAATAGGCAATTTTTTCTGTTAAAAAAAGAGGAATAAGAATATACTTGCTTATTTACAGAAAGCATTGACGAAGAATATCTGGAAAAACACTCAAGAAACTGATAAAAAAGATTGTCAGTTAGGAGGTAGTAGCATGGCAGATGGAAGCAGTGGGAGAGAGACTTTCACTGTATAACTTTTTATATGTTTTTGTCTTTTTGAACCATGTGAATGTACTATCTTTTCCAAAAAATAAATTTAAAAAATTTTAAAAGTTTGGATGCTGAAAACAAATTAAGAAAGCCCAACTAAATTTCTCTTGTTTACCTCCAATTCTCTGTCCTTTCTTCAAATGTCTCTCTTCAGATGACGAGGTCACGGTTGGCAAGTTTTATGCTACTTTCCTGATCCAAGAGTACTTCCGGAAATTCAAGAAGCGCAAAGAGCAGGGCCTCGTGGGCAAGCCCTCCCAGAGGAACGCCTTGTCCCTGCAGGTGAGGGGCGGGGGCCCCCATCCCGGGGAAAGGCCTGATCACCTTCCTCTGACCTCTGGCCAAGGTCCAAGCCTCTTGCCAGTGGGCTAGAGGTCAACTGCCTTCCGAAGGTAGATGTGTGTGGGGGGAAGAGGGGAGAGGACACTGTCCTTTCCCTCTTGTGTTCTTCCCACACACACTGGCCTCTGTGGAACTGCTCGCTCCATAGCACCCAGCTCTCTGGAGCTCAGCTGAAGCTCCCTGACAGCCCCTTGCCTCGTGCCTCCGTCTTTCTAGGATAGGAAAGTGGGTTCTTCCACCCGGGGAAGATGCACAGGTTCTAAGGCATGTCCGTGGTTAGTGCACACAGGTAGGCCTTCTGCAGGCCCACCGCGTGGTGCACGCGGCAGGTGGAGGCTTGGCAGAGGAGTCCAGGCCTTCACGCATGCCTCTGGTTCCAGGCTGGCCTGCGCACGCTGCACGACATCGGGCCTGAGATCCGCCGGGCCATCTCCGGAGACCTGACGGCTGAGGAGGAGCTGGACAAGGCCATGAAGGAGGCTGTGTCTGCCGCCTCCGAGGACGACATTTTCAGGGTACGTGGAGCCACACAGCACACGGCCTTGGCAAAGTTTGGCTTGAAGCAGGAGGGTGGGCTACTGTTCTGCCAGGAAACCCAGGGAGAAAGGCCTGAGTTCTGTGGCAGATTCCAAGCTCTTCCCACTCTGCTATTTGCTATCCCTCCACCTTGTCCCTGCCGGACTCTATCTCAAACCAGGGCCCCCAGGATGTGGCAGCTCAGAGATCATCACTGACTGGTGAAGGAGCCATTTTCCTGATTGAAATGTTTCCAAGGAGAAACCTACATTAGAAGCTTCAAAGTGGTGACCCTTGGGCCACATCTAACCCGCAGGCCTATTTTGTTTGCCAACATTTGAAAATCTGGCACATTCATATAAAAATCTAGACTCCTGGCTTCTCCTGGGAATATCAGAAGGTCTGGCAATATCAGGCTGTGTTCCCACATGGCAACAGAGGGCTGAGACCAAGCGGCGGTTGTCTTCTCGAAATAGAACTTGTGTTCTCCAGGTTGCAAATGTCCCCTCTCCTTTCCTGGATATGGAGGCCAACCATCAGTGTTACAATGAACACTAAATATGGCTAGAATGCTTGGGCTCTTGCATCCAGTTCTCCCCACTCCCTTGTAGCACCTGCCTAATCCCAAAGGTATTTAGCTAAAGATTGTTCTGTAACAAGGGAGAAGCTGCCGACCATAACTGTACCAGGGCCTGTGCACCCCGCTCCCCAGCCCCCACGCCAGGGCTCCCAGGCTGGACAAACACAGGAGGGAAGAGGAGCCCGTCCTGCCGCAGCTGTCCTGCCATCGCCATCCTCATCCTCATCACTGTGACACATTCATGACCGAATGGCCGCAGGGACACAGCAGCAGGCTAACACTACCCCCCAGAGACCCCATAGATCGACCTTGCCAATAGCTCCTTGCCCACTTGCCCAGGACAAAGAAAGAATGTTGGGAATAAATGCTGGTTCTAGATTTGAAATCTCTTAAGAACCTCCTAGGAGAAAGGAGGCCATAATATTGGGTAATTGAGGTAGAAAATTCATCTTTATTTTCAAAACTTTTTGGCTAACACAGTTTCTAGCTCACTGAGCCAGGTGGGTTCCCATTTTTTTAAATCTCGTCGGAATCTTCTGGTCCCTTTCCCCACCTCTCAGACCTCACGGCTTCCAGACCCAGCGGCTGCCGCAGGGAAGGACTGCCACCCTAGACCCGTCCTAGAAACTCAACCCCGGTGTTCAGAAGGTTCAGTAGAAACTTCCAGGGCAGCAGCGTCCCCGCCGTGACTGGTTCCCACAGGCTGTCCTGTCCTCGCCATTCCCCCAGGCCCTTCAGAGGGGGCTGTGTGGGCCCCTCCTGTCCAGCTGCCAGGCCACGTGGGTGAACAATGCCCTGTCTGCCTCATGCTGCCAGTGTGGCTGTGCTCTCTGGAGGGCAGACGACTCCCCGTGCCTTGGCTGAGCAGGAGAGGCTGCTGCGGGGCGCTCTCCTCCACCCACCCCTCCTGTCTTGCCTACAGAGAGCCGGGGGCCTGTTTGGTAACCATGTCAGCTACTACCAAAGCGACAGCCGGAGCGCCTTCCCCCAGACCTTCACCACCCAGCGCCCACTGCACATCAACAAGACCGGTAACAGCCCCGGCGACACCGAATCGCCATCCCACGAAAAACTGGTGGACTCCACTTTCACCCCCAGCAGCTACTCCTCCACTGGTTCCAATGCCAACATCAACAATGCCAACAACACAGCCCTGGGCCGCTTTCCCCGCCCCACCGGCTACCCCAGCGCGGTCAGCACTGTGGAGGGCCACGGGCCACCCCTGTCTCCTGCCATCCGGGTGCAGGAGGCATCATGGAAGCTCAGCTCCAACAGGTAAGCAGGAAGGCGGGGCATCCAGAGCCCATGCACAGAGGCCTCCCACACTCCAGCTCAGGGGGGTCAGAGTGGGCAGAACTTGGCCCCCAGCTTTGCCTCTCACCCCTCAAGCTGGGGTGGACGCTGCCACCCCAGACCCAGGGGCAGAACTGGGTGAATGCCCCCTCCCAGTTCTGCCCTTGGTTGCATGTGGCAGCCATGCTCAGGGGAGGCACCATGGCCCTACCAGCCAGCAGGTGTCCTGAGGAACACAGCTCGGGACGGAGCCTGCTCTGCTCTCTCACGCTACGTGCGCAGAGAGCCTTGATCCCCAAGCTGTTTGCACCCTGGCTGCACAACAGATACCATTCCCCAGCCTTTCCCAAGTCTCTGTCCCAACCTGGTCTTTGGCGCAATTGGGAGGGGAACGAAGCCACTGCCTCCTCTTTATACCTTTCTCACACCTCCAGGGAGGGCATTTTGGCAGCAGGAGGCCCTTTGCTGTAACACTGGCTCATTCTGCCACAGTATAGGATCATTCCTGGTAGTTTTGACTGCACCCCCCAACTCCCTGTGCTCTGCTCCCTGATGCTCCCAGGAGCATTGCTACGATGCACCTGAACAGTAGTGCCCACTGCATGCTCTGGGCCTCGGGAAGCGCAGCCTGGACCTCAAGGGTCTGCCTGTTTATACCAGCAGCTCAGGGCTCCCAGGCCAGGTGGGAGAGGGCACGCCTCTGCATCTCGCCACTTCACCCTTAGCTGACCTGCTCTTCCAGGGCGCGGTGGCCACGCCAGCAGGACAGCAGTGCCCCAGCATGCCAGGTTCTTGAGCCAATCTCATTTTCTGCCCTTGAGCTCAGAAAACTATCGAGAAGTTCCAGTGTGTTTCTAAATCCATGGACATGTGTACCAAGCTGCTTTCATTCAAGGAACCAACATGGCCACTTGTAAGTCCACACAGCCGGGCCACTTACCCTGTCTGATGGTAGACAAGTCAAATTGGCCGTCTGTCTACCTTACTTCCTAAGATTAGCTGGCTCAACCACCCAACACTAGTGCTGGGTGAGCCCTGCCCAATTATACTGATACCGTCTACGTGCAGGGCAATGTGCTCAGCACTGGATTTCACGTGCTGATTTTGCACAGGAAAATGTCAAAGTTCAAGTGGCTGGCCTATGGCTGTCTTGGTGGCCCCTTCCCTTTTCTGCAACTCTCCTCCCTTCTAAGTGCTTCAGGGACTCAGTCCTAGTATCATTTTCTTCCTGTTCCCCTTATCAAACCTCTCCTTAAGGAAGGATTGTTGTCTTCACCATCAGTGTCAGTGTAAATAAATACCTCCTTTAAAGGGAATTTCATATGACACTTTGTTCTGTATTAAATAAAGGAAGGTAAAAATCATTTTAGAGAGGAGATCAAGAGAGACACCAGGGGATTTCTTCCTTTCCCCACAGACACACCTATTGATGAAATAGGATCAAAGCAAACACCTAGCACTATGCCTAGCACATAATAAATGCTCCTAAATGTCAGCCTCCCTCCCCATCACAGTTGGTAAAAACAGCACTCAGAGCAGCAAGCTCCAGATTGGGGAGAGGGACAATTTAACCAAAATCCCAACCCTGGGAGCTGTCTCTCCTGTCACACTTAGCTCAAGGCCAAGTGTGGCAGCTCCAGGACTGGCCTCACTTTTGTTGAGGACAGGCCAGCACGCCTTGCTCGCAAAGACCCCCAAGAGGCAATGTTACCTGCCTGCTGTCATTCTCTGTCTAGCGAATCCCAATGGGCCTTGCCAAAGCTCCTTCCGTGTCCCTCTCTTCACACGCCGTTGCCAGCCTTTGACATCGCATCTGTCCCTCAGACTGCGGCGCGGGCCGCCGCCTGGTACGACCTCCCCAGAGAACTGCCCTTACCCTTCCCAAGTGGCCCTCAGTCCAGAGTCAAAGCTGGGGGACTGATCCACTGCTCAGCTCTGAGAGGATAGACTGGGATAGTTCTCTGATGCCCTCATGAGTCTGAGGATAAAGTGGGTCCCAGTGTGCAGGATCTAGAGGAGGAATGGGGAGGTGGGCACTGAGCTAGGCAGAGACAGGAAAGGGGAGAACACCTAGACCAGAAGTAAAGAAGACACGACCAAGTGAGCAGAAGACTCTGACCCAGAGCAAAGGCCTTGTCATTCAAGGCACGTCCTGATATGGGGGGTTTCAGCTCAGCAGACTCGGGCTTGCTCCCCTCTGCTCAGAAGAGCACACCCCCCTGTGTGAGCCTTCTTCTCTGTGCCTTCACTCCAGGGTGCCGAGGTCAAACTCAAGAGCATGTCAAAATATGATACTGGGACTTTCTCAGCTCTGCCCAACATGTGCCCAAAGGCCCCACTACCTATAGAAGAGGGAAGGGACAGCCCTCATGCTGGCCCACCCGCCCTGTATAGTGCAGCCCAGGACCCTTCCTCAAAGCTGATCCTTCCCACCTTTCAAAGCACCATCTCATGTGCTGCTTCATTTGTTACTTACAGTGAGCCTCTGAGTCAGACAGGGCATATGTGCCTCCGGTTTTACTGAGGGAGATCCTGAGGCATGATCACTTATGTCCCTTATGCCTGAGGCTAACTGAATGGGGTCAGAACTCAGGTCTCCCCTAGTCCTAACCCTTTTTCCACCTAGAAGCACAACCCCAATCCTAATGCTTCCATGGCTCTGGCTTCCTCGGCGACTGCAGGGGGGGCGGCCATGACGGCTGTGTGTGTGAGTGCGTGTACACGCGTGCGTGGTGCCGCACTCGCTGAGGGAAGAGGAGGAGGGCTGGCAGTTTCTGACTTTTTTCTCCATCTTGGCCACCTTAGGTGCCACTCCCGGGAGAGCCAGATAGCCATGGTGTGTCAGGAGGAGTTTTCTCAGGACGAGACCTATGAGGTGAAGATGAGCGAGGACACGGAGTACTGCAGGGAGCCCAGCCTGGCCTCCACAGAGAGGTGAGCTCCACTGCCTGCTGCCCAGGCTGGCCTGTGTGCGCAGAGAAGGGTCTGGGTGAAAGGCAGGTCCTGGGGTCCCTCCTCTTGGGGTGGTCTGGGACGGGGAGGGGATCACATATCAAAAGAGCACCTACAAAGCACCTGTCCCCTCTTTGGGGACGGAAGCCTCCGACCCACACAGATACACAGATCCCCTGGTTAGCTTGGCTCTTCCTCACAATACGGTACTTCCAGAAAAAAAACTTCTAAACATTGTTTCTAAAATCTTGGGTGGTGCAACCAGCCAATAAATATATTTTAAAGTGAGACTCATTACACACATACATGTAGTATTGACCAATAAACAAATGTTAATAAAACTAGTGGTATTTATAATAAAGCTACCCAGCAGATGGCGCTGTTGGCAAATGGTGGCTGCACAAGGTCAGTGCTGTAGTTTTTTAAGGGCTTTTTAACTGCAGATCTAACACATTAGAAGGTTGTGACATTTACTTAGTCATGATCAACACTTCTAAAAGAAAGTATAGCACAGCATAGCACAAGATAACATAGACCAGGATAGTACAAGACACGTATCCAATGTCACAAAGGTAAGTATCATTTTGTGAAGCATTGTTTAATTGCCAATGATGCAAGTATGTGTGTAATGAGCCCCATACAATGTATTTATGAATGCAGGTTACATTTAAAAAGTTTAAGATGCACTGTTTTAGAAGTTTTCCTGAAAGCACTTTATAGTAAAGAAGGGTCAGCCCTTTCAGGCTTTAGATTTTTTAGAGAATGCAAATTAATACTTGGCTGCATATCCTAGAAATCAGGAAAAGCATATCCTTCCACCCATTTTGGCCCTTACTGAGTGCTTGGTACATCCAGAAACTGGGCCAGACCATGAATAAACTGGCCTCGGCACTCGGAGATTTTGAAAACTAGTTAGGAAGCTAAGAGAATCTCAGAAGAGGAAAATAACATGGAGATTTTCTAACTAATTGCCCAAAGAGTGGTACAACAATGAGGGGTACAGGCATCAGCAAAGGTCAAGGTCAAGGTGACCACAGCAGGCACTAGTCACAAAGTCAAACTGAAGCTGGGTTCTCAAGAATGGGTACGATTTGGATAAGAAGGAAATACAACAGGGAAGGTTTGCCCAGCTGAAAATGAGAGGAAAGGCTTACACATTTTGGTTCAAAACTTTCCTCAACATGTACAAATGCTGGAAGTCAGTGAATTGGGAGCAGGAAGACAGCACAGCCTCCACCCTCTAAGTAGGCGGAGTCACAAGAAGAGCAGAGCCACTGGTCTCTGTAAAAGGAATGGGTTAGAGTACAATTTTGGAAGGACAGTTATGCCCACCCGGGGTAGTAAAATCAATTTAGTGGATTGCAACGGACGCTTTTTAAAGAAACAAAACAGACTAATGTAAAACAGAAGCGATCAGAGTGCAACACATAAAGGTTAAGTATGGTCCATGATGCCTAGTTCAGTCAGGTGTGTCTCTGCACACTGGGACTGTGTAAAGCACAGTCCTGACTGTGAGTCCCATCCAAAGGCTTAGAAACCACGGCCTGGATGCCCCTACGCTCCCTGACAGCTCTGCAGCCGCTGACTGGATGATCGTATGGTGTCGTTGGCAACTGCCGGCCTGTGCTCTTGATGAGGAAGGGGTGGGCAGGCCAGGGAGGATGGGGTGGGGGAGGAAGTTGGGGTAAAGTTTGGACTCCTCACACTAACAAGAATAGATCAATACATGGAAGAGAGGAGCCCAGGTCATTCCTGGAAAGAACTTTGTGGGCCTTTCTCCACAGCTTTGACCCAAGAGTGCCTGTAGAGCCTCCCATCCGAGCTGCGGGGCTCAGAGTCGACAGGCAGGGTGTGAGGGGCCGGAAGGGTCCTGGGGTGGCAAGTTCCTGCCGCCCCTCCCCAAACCTTCAAGAAAGCACAAAGTGGGGGTTCCCTTCTCTGAGGGAAAAAAAGCAAACTACCTTCTGGGATGGCCGCTGTCCTTGCGGGACGCACTGCTCAGCCTCCAGGAACAAGCCCCAGGGGTTCTCTGCTCCAGGCTCGCCTATCAGGACGATGAAAACCGACAGCTGACACCCCCAGAGGAGGACAGGAGGGACGTCCGGCAATCTCCAAAGAAGGGTTTCCTCCGCTCCGCTTCCCTAGGTAAATCCCCACACCGTGCTCTCAGATGTGGCCAGTGGGCACCCCCAGACGACTGGCCAGGCACTCAGGGGTGACAGAAGCTGTGGCAGCCTGGCTCAAACAACCGCCACAGAGTGGGCTGGGCAGATTTCTAAAGCAACAAGAGGGAATTAATTCCAAGGACAGGGCTTGCTGGGAGAGGACTTGGACATATATTCCATGGTATGTGTCAGACAAAGATGGAGGGTAAGGAGGTGGTGTATCCAGGTCACTAACAGCGCCCCTCTCCCTTCCCTGGGTACGAGTCGTCACAGAGCCTGTCTTTTTTTTCCTGCTCTGATCATAGTTCTTTGGCTGGCTTTGCAGGTCGGAGGGCCTCCTTCCACCTAGAATGTCTGAAGCGACAGAAGAATCAAGGGGGAGACATCTCTCAGAAGACAGTTCTGCCCTTGCATCTGGTCCATCATCAGGTAGCTCACACTTTGGACAGGCCACTGGCCACCTCCTAGTAGGCTAGACAAAAATCCCCGAGATCCCAGTCTTCCCTGCTGCAGACCACTGCTGCCTCCCCACTCCTGGCCCTAGCAGCCCTCGTGGTACGGGGCTTTCTCTCCACAGGTGAGAGCCTTCACAAAGTCTGTCATTTCCCAAGGTGGGGACCTAGGAAATACTGGTGGGCAGGAGCCCCTTACGTGGTCCCTAAGGACCAGCGGCTCTGGGACTCCACGAGCTTTCTCCTTACAGTGGCACGCGTGCCCTCTCCTCAGACCCTGGCTTCCGCCCGGGCAATCAGGCAGACGTCATCCTCCCTAGATTCGCAACGCACACAGGAACTGAGCTGCACAGAGATCCACCCACTGAGATACACTAATGGTCAGAGAACTGGCCAGCTACATGGGCAGGAGTGGGCAGTGACACCCAAGGGACACAGGTCCGGGGAGATGCAACAGCGGACATTTTTCTCTTGGCACAGATGACTCTGAGATAGTGAAATCCAAGGCGCCAGCATCGGAAATGCTCTTCGTATCTGACAACTAAAGGAAATGTCAAAGAATTATGGAAGGCAGTCTCTTACCTCCAGAAAAATTAGGTTTTAAACTAGAGTTTCCTAAGTTTTTTACCTCTTTAATTATACCCCCTTGCCACAGGCCTGTGCTTTCAATAATAAGTTTTTATTCAAAGGCATTCAATTACCAATCAAAGTTTATAATCAGCACAGATGGCCAGTATGGTTTGGCTGAGTTGGTGTGATTTCAGCTTAAAGAAATGCGGTTTTGCTTAGCCTGTGTGGCATTGCCACAAACACATGATCTCCAGGGACCCAGAGACCCCAGGACCCAGGGCGGGTACCATCGAGAGCAGTGGTGAGGGGAGACTGGCAGGCTGCAGGGGGTGGGGGAGCCACTGTGTGTGATATTTTTAAAGATTTCTGGAAGGTGACTTCACTCATCTGTTTTACCATTCTGGAGAGCAAAACACTCCTCTTTACCTTCATTCTCTCTTTCTGCCTTCCTGCTTCCCTCCCATCCCTGCAGCCTTGTCCCTTCCTCTCTGCCTCTCCGGCTGGCCTCTCCCAGCACACTGTGTCACTGTCCCTCGGACGTGTCACATCAGGGCAGACTGTTGTGGCAGTTCACGTGGGGACAATGACCCGCCCTCAGGACACTGAAGCACAGCAGGGGCAGGGGACACAACTGTATGAGTAGTTTAATCACAAGACAGTGGAAGACTTAAACAATAGTTCAAAAACAAGGTGAGCTAGAGATTGGCAAGACGTTATTAATGGCCTGATTAATTGTAAAAATTACACCAGTAAGGACTAGTTTTGTCCAGCTCTTTGGATACACAGTGTGCTTTTTTTCAGACCCTACTTCACTTGAACATATGCATCAATCTGCAAAGCAGGGAGACAGTGGACACTATGTTCTGGTCATACAGATGACATGGCCTTCGTCCTCTCTACTGACAAGAAAGCCAAAGGAAGAGAAGTCACAGCTAGTGGGGGATAGAGCCAGTGCTAAGGAGCAGATGACCTTGACTCCAGTTTATCACAGCTTTTGGAGTTTAGAGGAGACAGATCTGATCCCTTCAGCCTGAGATACGAGAACATATAAGAGAACATGTTTTAGCGTGATTGAAACTTGCGCTGGGTCTTGATGAGGTAGGGTTCAGAGGGGTGGAAATGACGGCAGGAGGAGTTCCAGGCAGGTGGAACTAGTGGGAAACAGTAGCTGCTGAGAGGCCAGCCCTCTGGGCCTGACTGTGCCCAGTAACGGCCGCTCCTTGTGTGTCCGCAGGCATTGGCAGTGGCGGGCCTGAGCCCCCTCCTCCAGAGAAGCCATTCTCCCACCACATTTCCCAGGCCATGCGCCACCCCCCCTGCCACGCCCGGCAGCCGAGGCTGGCCCCCGCAGCCCATCCCCACGCTCCGGCTGGAAGGAACCGAGTCCAGCGAGAAACTCAACAGCAGCTTCCCATCCATCCACTGTGGCTCCTGGTCTGGGGACCCGACGCCCTGTGGGGAGAACAGCAGCGCCACCCGGAGAGCCCGGCCTGTGTCCCTCACTGTGCCCAGCCAGGCCGGGGCCTGGGGCCGGCAGTTCCATGGCAGTGCCAGCAGTCTGGTGGAAGCGGTAAGTGACTCCAAGCTACACAGCAGACAGGCGAAGGAAGGGTCGGAGGGAGCTCCTGGTTCTCTCCCAAGCAATTGGAGGTCAGGTCTCCAGAAAGACCCTCGATGCCAGGGCCTGCTGCAGGACCACATGGCATGCGGGAAATTCTGACCACATAAGACGCTACTGGCTTCTGCTGGGGCCGGGCGGAGGCCAGGGGAGACAGAAGCTGTGCGGCAGCACGCCCTGCCGCAGGCCGCTGGGGGCGCCGAGGAAGGCTGCGGGGCGCCTCTGTGGCCAGAGGCGTGCCGTGGCCGCTCCAAGTGGGAGCTCGGGCTGCCTTCGTTCACCCGCAGGAAGTCCTTATGTAGCTCCTGAACCTGGTTGCTCAGTTGAATAACCCGGGGAGCTTTGGAAGCCTATGACCAATGAAATGGGTATTTTTAAAAGCCTTTTGATGATTCTAACATACAGCCAGGGTTGAAGCCTGTAGCCTAGAACAAGAGCACTTCCTGGTCCACCATGTTCCGCCCTGGTTAGAGTGCCTAGTGCGATCCTTGCACCACACCTTAGGGTACTTTTGACAGATTGGAACCATCCCGAAGGTGGGTGACTGGGCTGGCAAGGTCCCTAGAAGACATTTCATATGAGAACAGGTTGAAGAAATTTGTGAAGTCAGCTTGGAGAGGAGGTGACTTGAGGAGACATCTCAAACCTGTAAGAGTCCTGTCTTCTGGGCAAGGGGTCTTAAATGCAGGACTGACAGGCAGGCAAGTTGTAGCCCGCATGTGGAGATCTTCCCAAACGAGCTCTTCCAAAATGAGGAGGGCGTTCCTGTAAAGCAGTGAGCCGCTCGCCGTCTGACATGTGCAAACGGAGCTGATGCCTGTCCAGACCCCAGGCTGTCACACAGGGGGCTCTTAAGGTTCCTTCGGACTCTAACGCTCTGTGCTTCGAGTGGTCTTGGTTGCCCCTCGTTCGGGCCACATGTCTCCACTGAGCACCTGCCACGTGCAGGCTGTGTTCCGGGTGCGCGGACACTGCTAAGAAACAGCTACTTTGCTCTCACAGGCTCACGTTGTAGTGAGGAAGGACAGATAATAAATAAGCCTGTATGTCATGTGTTAGGAAGGGGCAGGAGCAATGAAAAAAGTTAGGCAAGATAAAGAGTAATGGGGGAGCAGGACAAACAGAACGGGGAGGGGAGTGTGCCAGGCTTCACTCTAGTGCTTCCCCACCCACTGGCTCAGTGGCTGATTTCCCCAGACCGGTCACTAAAGCAGCTGCCAGGAAGGAGGGTGCTGCTCTTGCTGAGCCAGCTGGCCCCTCCCCCGCAGAGGCAGAGGCGGGTGCATGCACAGTATCTGCACACATTGTACTCTGGACCCTCGCCCCGAGTTAGGCGGCCAAATGGCAATGGGCAGTGGGCATGGACTGACAGTTCCACCAAAGGAGAATGAGGGTTTCTTGGAAAGAATAATTAATATAGGGTGCCAGGAAGGAGAAAAGACAAAGGCAAACTATTCTAGCTGTCAGACAACATCCCTGCGGCTCCTCGGTGAGCCAAGTTTTCATGTATTTGGTAACAGTTTTCACGTCCCCCCAGCCAAAAGGTCTCTCCTCCAGCCTATACACCCCAAATTTCACTCGTTCCCTCTGAGCACTCCACTGCGTGTGCACAGGCACACACATACGTGCACATGTGCGATGCATGCACACACACTCGGGAAGTTTCCAATCAGAAATCCCTTGCTCTAACCCCAAAAAGAAGAGTTGAGCTGCAAGAATAATGTTCCTCTTTGGTTCTTCTTCATGCCCACCCCCCGTCCCGCCTTCAGGTCTTGATTTCGGAAGGACTGGGGCAGTTTGCCCAAGATCCCAAGTTTATCGAGGTCACGACCCAGGAGCTGGCTGATGCCTGCGACATGACCATAGAGGAGATGGAGAACGCTGCTGACAACATCCTCAGTGGGGGCACCCAGCAGAGCCCCAACGGCACCCTACTACCTTTTGTTAACTGCAGGGACCGGGGGCAGGACAGAGCAGGGGGCGAAGAGGACGGGCCCTGTGGGCCCAGCCAGGAGTGTCGGAAGAGCGAGGAGGAGCTGCCGGACAGCAGAGCCCACGTCAGCAGCCTGTAGGAGTCCGGGCTGGGAGATGCGGGGTTTTTTATTTGTTTCAATGTTCCTAAAGGGTTCGTTTCAGAAGTGCCTCACTGTTCTCGTGACCTGGAGTTAACGGAACAGCGTCTTCATTCATTTCGTTGGGACAAGATACAGAGTTGGGTGATGTGGAGAGTGAGCTTTTCGCTTTTCAGGGGTGGGGGAAGAAAAGCAGCAACCCCAGTTTGTGTCCAAGGAGGTAGAGTGGTGAGGAGGAGGAGGAGGAGGAGGCGGAAGGGGAGGGGAGGGAGCGCAGGAGACAGCTGCCTGCCCTCCCATTGTATTTCAAGCCTTGTGCCAGGAACCAGCCTTCGCCTTGGGCACAAAAGGCACCCTCAACTTCCTGTGGTAGCCCTCACCGAAAGGACCTTTGTCAAACGGGTGTCTTTCAACTTTGCTTGTAAAAAAATCATTTTGCACATATTCTGTACGAGCCTCACTGTCCCCATAGAGCCAGGGCCCTGTGAATTTGCAGAAGGGAGCAGGCAGGACTTGGACCCAGCCACACCTGAGAGGGAGGAGGAAGCAGCAGGGGGCGCCAGGAGCCGGGATCCAGGAGGAGGGGTGGGGCGGGTGCTGCCGCTGCCCTTCCCCCGCCTTCCCCCGCCGGCCATCCCCCTGCGTCAGGATCACCTTCTCTGCACGGGCTGCGGAGCTCCGCCAGCAGCAGGCCAGCCTGCGGCCAGGGGAGCGGACCACCCGCCAAGAGGAAGCAGCCAGCTCTGGACAACGCCAGGTGGCGCTGGGTTCTGCTGAGCGCTCTTTTGTTCTGTGGTTTGACATTTTTCTTGACAGCATGTTGCAATTTTCATTTCTCTTTTGGTTTTGGGTTTTTGTTTTTTTCTTTAGTTTTATTTTCCCAGGCAGAGGAGAGGAAAAAGCGTCTACAGAGTTGTGTAGCCACCCACCTTACTGTTTTCACTCTTGCAAATGTAAATGAGGTTAGGTATGATATTATTTAAACGGGTGTGGTTTCCTTTTTCTACAGTGGGTTCACTAGAGCCACTGTAGGAGAGTTTTACCAGACATTGTGTATGCCCAATCATTTCTTATAATTTCCGTAGGTAGTACAAATTTCTTTGGTTTGGTTTTATAATTTCAAGGTAATCAGCAATGCACTTGATAGGGTCTTGCACAGATGGGTGACTGAGTTAGGTTCTTTTGAATGCTGGGTGTATTGGTGGGTGCCAGAAGAGAGCAAGTGTGCATGAGTCAGTCTCCGTGAGTGTGTTATGTGTGTAGCGGGCTGTCTGTGTGGGTACGTCGATGTGTGTACATGCGCCCACGCAGTGCCCCCATGCGCCCAGTGAGTACACAGCTCCCCGTTTCTGGGTTAACAGGGAGATCTGAATCCAGGGCCATTTGAAAGCAAAAACAAATCACTGTCTCTGCTTCTGAAACGGGAATCAGTAACTCTTTGCATTTTCTGTCCCACAAGATATGCAAAAACAATGCAATAATACTCATTTTAAAAATACAATTGTGAGTCTTGTTGGCATTAAAACTGTATTTTAAAAAACACATAAATTTAAGGGAAAAACTCAAGAAGGCATTTTGCTTCGATATATTCCGTGTAATGTTTTATTGCATTGATAATGTTTCTGTTGAAGAAACCATTATACTTGAATTCAGGTCAGTTTCAGTATTTTACAAATATTTTTTTAAAATTGAATTGCAATTGTGCCAAGCGAATATAATGAATTGAATTAAGTTTGTTTTTGAATCCACCTCTTGTATATTTTGCTGCATGTAAGTAAATCATTTTGTATTTGGAGTGTGACAAGCTTTACCGTTGAACTCTTAAGTGCTTTTCTATATGTGGTTGGGGGAAGGGGAATGATTTTTTTTTTTAATTTGTACAATGAGCAAGGGTATCACCAGTGTAAATCATTATTCTGCTACCCACTAACAGGTTTGGACATTACTGTTTTGCATATCTTGTGTTTGCTTCCATTTCCCTCAATTTTTCCAAAGCTATGCGATAGGTGTATTTGTACTACATCTCATTTGAGGGACCAGGACATATCTCATTCCAATCTTCCCTCTATCTGCTCTGCACCAGTCCTCTGATTGGGAATTTCTCTAGAAACAGCCCTTTACTGAGAGGGGCCAGGAGGCCTTCTGACCAGCCTCTCTCCTCACTGGGCAAGCCTCAGCATCCCCCGAGGGAGAGGAGAGGTGGCTGACTTTTCTCTTCACTCCCATAGCACAAGTTTTGCTCAGTGGTTTTTCAGGAAAGTATACACTGATGAGGAGATGGGATTAGAGTTGGGCTGCTGGAAGGGGAAGGGAATCCTGGCTCTGGCAACTGCTCTACCCAAACTCAGACAGCAGGGGCTAGAAAAAGGCAACCAGGTAAAATCTTTGTCCATCCCAAAGCCAACGCTGTCTTGCTCACCTCTCCCTCTTTTCTGCCCTCTCGGGCAGGCTTTCCTCCAGACCTCCATTCGTCTGTGTGGCAGCCACGGAGGAGACCAGAACAAGAGAGGCAGCGTCAGGAGGTCACCGGGGTGTAGAAACAGAGACTCGGTGGGGGCTTCTCTGAGGCCAGTTTGCGTCTACCTAGAACATCACCCTGTTGATGCTGTCCTTTGAATAGATCTGAACAATGATGGTCAATAAGGGATGGATTTGGGGAACACAGGGCCCAGCCATTCATCCAGAATTTACCCAGTGAATCTCTTCCAGTCCAAGGTACTCTCATCCCTTCTTGGCACTTACATAAGCAAACTAGAAATTTAAATTGGAGAAAGCCCATTCCTCCGCAAAGATGAGCTTTGTTTTCATGCACTGATTCATGAAAATGTGGAGAGATGTGCTGGAAACCCCCAGGTTAGCCTAGGGTAGAAACAGAAGAGTTTCTTCCTGCTTCTCTGAGCCCAACCCATCCAAACCCTCTTGGTTCCTCCTCAGAGCCATCTTCTAGAAATTAAGTTCAGGCGTTACCATTACCCTTTGTCTACTTTCCCAAAATGCCTGCCACTGTGCCACTAAGATTTTCATCATGATGGAGAGGGGAGCCCTTTTAGATTAACATCTGGTTCTTGCTATACATTTGATCCCTAGATAAAGCTGGGAATCTTAATTCACCACATACACTCAACCTTTTCATGCTGCATTCTATTTTCCTTCTGGACGTCTCGTCTGTGTCACCAAATCTGACTGGCCGTCACCTTGGGCTCCAGGCTGGGCTCGTGCCAGCCGCTCCCAGGGCCCCGCCTAAGTGCAGCCCCCTTGCTTTTCACCACTCACACCAAAGGCTCGCTGCTTCTTTCTAGTCCAGTCGGTCCCGAACACCAGCCAGCCTCCCTCCCTGCCCCCACAAGAACAGTGTCAGCAGTGACAAGGGCGCTTTGCCTTATGCTGCTCTGAAGGAGAGGAGTTTCAGATGGGAGTGCCCGGGCGAGGGCCTCTCGGAGCCTGCCCCCCTGCGGGACTCCTGCGGGGCTGACTGACGTTTGATAACTGTCATCATCATAGACTAGTAGCTTCAGTCATGAAACCAGGCAATGCCACCCACGGTGTACTAGGTGATGTTTGCTCTCCACCTAAAGGAGAGCTTTCCCCATGACCTTGTAGAACTTCTGGGTGGCAGGAGAAAAGCAGCCAGTGCTGAGGACCCGAAGGACCTGAAGAAGTGCGGCTTAAGTTCTGGGTTTCGGGAAACTTGGTTTTATCATTTTCTGACTAGCTCGGCCTCTTTTATTTTCACACCTTTGCTCTTTTAAAAACTACTCACATGCATGGCTATTTTCAGTTGTTTCCTTTCTGCCTGTTCATAGAAGTTTCTTTTTGGCTTTGACCTAAAAAAGGAGACCTTTTCCCTAGATTTTGGCTTGATTCATGAATTTTTCTCTGCTTCAGAAGATACTAGCTATAGTCCCCTCTTTGGCTTCTAAGTCTGATAGACATCCCTCTGACTGGGAAATACGAGGAAAAAGGAACAAGGCTTCCTTCCTCAGTCTTGTATTCTCCTCTGGGACCCCGCTTTCCAATGTCAGGGGCTTGTTTGGAGTGAAGCTACTTACCACCTCCTCAGAGCCATCTACTTCCAGGGATTCGGCTTATCACGCTGTGGAAGGTAGTAAGGCGACCACAGAGGTATATCTTCCACTGCCAAAGTAGTATCTTTCAGAAATAAGAGCACCCAGAAAATGAGGAGTTCGGAAGTCATCAAAAGGATGATAGTTGTTTTACACAGGCCTGTCACTCCTAAAGGCCAAGAAATAGAGCAAGAGCTTGGGGTAGGAATAAACAAGAACCCTGGCGGTTAGCGTTTTAGCCTCATCAAACCCAAATCATACATGTTGCTATGGAAGGTGATGGCCTCTCTACCTGCAGAGAGCTAGGAGAATGAGTAGACATCATCTGAGAGTTAGAAACAGTTTAGCAAAGAGACCAAGAAAAGGTCTCAAGAGGACCTCTTTAAGCCCTGGGGAGTCAAAAACATTGCTGTTAGAGTCCCGGCCAGCTCCGTTTCTGAAGACACAGCTCTGGTCTGGGCAAACAGTAAGCCCAGAGAGAACTGGAAAAGAAATGGGGCAAAAAGGGCATATTTTGACTTCCAGTGTGTCTGTTCCCATTTTATGGAAATATCCAGGTCAACCACTCACAACAGCCAGTGCAGGGCCGAGGCTCATGTCTCAAGGATCTACTTTAGAAGAAGAGAAAAGTAACATTTTGACTGACATTGTTTTCCCAACCAAATCAACGTTACCTGGCTGGATGTGGGGCGTCTGCTCCCCGGTCTTCCCTCTGCTGATGTCGCTGCCCTTGTATTGGCCAGCGTGCCACAGGACCCAGCCCCAGAGGCGGCCTGAAGCCCTCCCCTCGCCCACCGTGGAGCTCGCTGTCACCCACGCCCAGGTGCTCCAGCAATGACACAGCTGCGGAGACCCAGGGAGGAAGGGGTCCTACAACTGTCAGGGCGGGGGCGGGGGCAGGGGCATCGGCTCTGCCCTCCTCCCTAAGCCGCTCTC